AGCAAATCTTCAACAGCAGCAGTTTTAACAGGAGAATCCTTTGATGAGTTCAGTCAAGAATTACCAGCAGCGTTTACCGGCATCAGGTTAGGTTTAAGGCTCCAAGTTCTACACAGTATTGTTCCACGAGACAATAACCTAGTGGATTAAAACTTTGTTTCGTGGTAACAGTAATTGTGTGTTAAATCATTGGGCGAGCAATGCGTACTTTGACTCAGTGGAAACGGGACGAGCAAGAATAAAATATAGACGAGATATCCTTAGTCATGGGCAGTGGAACGAGAGCAGTAGATGGCATAGATTAAATAAAGGGTTCAGTTCGGAATTCCGCGTAGGTTATCTGTCATACACCGGAAGAAGGCGGAAACATTGTGATAGCAATAGGAAAAGTGGGGACAATAGTCCGCGTGTAAATAGTACAAATAATACTTCTGACAGAAAATTTAGATTATCTTAAGATAAAACTGAAATATTACTCATATATCCCTAATCAAAACTGTACTTAATTTTTTGGCTCATATCTGTCAGTGTAGAAATATAACGTCTATGTTGAGAAAGTCAGCCCAATACGAGGACACGTGCGTCTGGTATAAACACCTACACAGCATATCTACTCATAGCATAAACATAAAATTTTGTTAAACTATAGTTTAGCAGACTATTAGTTTTAGGGGTAATGGTATCTCTGCTCGGATCTTCTGATGTTGACCTTCGAGGTCAGATGGAAGACAAAATAATGAAGTTGAGACAGCATGGGAGATAAATATAGAAAGAATTTCTAGTCAGTTGTTTCTTAACTGTCAAACAATGTAGACGTGTTTTCTTTCGTGTGTGAAACGACTCCCGAGTGGAGGGAGAACGACCCCCACTGCAGAGATAGAATATGTCGACATGAACGTTAATGAAATAGTTAAGTTAAAATTCCCTGTGTTGAAGTTCTTTTATCTCTTGACTCAAAACAGCAAGCGATCACCGGGCGCGAGAAAAGGGTGCAACTTTATTATCGAATCAACGCCGGTGCTCAAGACCACCCCCACCAGGGAGCTATACAACATATGAGTAAACTGGCGCCAATGACCAAGAGCTCCCCAGCACGAGGGAGCTATACAACAGTTTCACCGATTATTTAAACATAAATTAAAATATACCTATTCGTAAAAATAGTTTCACATTATGCATAAGGCTTCCTAACATTCTTTTGTTTTAGACAGTTTAATTAAATATGGCAGCTCAAACAAAACGGGATTAGATTGTCACATTGAAAATGGCTGGTATGGAAGTTATAAAACAGTTGTTTGCAGAAAAGCTGTGTTTTTTTAATGTTCGAAAAAAGTTTCAAGAGAAGCAAATAATCTCATTAAATCCAATTCCAGGAAGAAACCGTCCAGTTTGTACAAGGAGTCATTGAAGCCGTCAAGAAGAGAATGAAGAGAAATCCATGAAGAAACATGATGAAGATAGCAAAAGTACTAGATATTTCAGATAGGAAACGATTGTGAAAGGATTTGGGGCTAAAAACTATAAAAGATTCAACAATGAAAGCTGCTCACATGTGCCTCCAAACAAAAATAGGTTGGCAGAGGGAAGAAAATGAACGTACCGCAGACAATGTCTTCGTTTGGTTGGACAATAATTTTCCCTATCGAATCTGTGGTCAACTACCAAAACAATAAGGTTTTCGCCATTTCACCAGACAACATTCCCAAAAGTTTCAGAACACATTTCAATTGACAGAAACCAACCGGTTGCTCCTGATGGTTCAAAATCGCTATTGGTGTTCATTGAAGGATGAGTAAAAGCAGTGTTTACCAGCAAATATTGAAGAAATATATGTTGCCCTGGTTGACAGCCACATCTCTTTATTCGCTATGCCTTCACTCAATACAGCATTCCCTTGAACACAGGCAATTTGACACACAACTGGCTCAAGAGACATTTTCGCGGATCTTTTGACAAGTCAATTTGGCCTCCACCAAGCTCTGACATTAATCATATGGACACTGTAATATGGCCCATATAGGAAAATGATGTTTCACGTATCTCATACTCAAATGAATAATACCTGAAAGAAACTCTTATGACATCATGATACAATTTAAACAAAGAGGTGATGAATAAGTTATGGACTTCATTAGAGAAGAGATTATGGACAAAGGGTGGCCAGTTTAAATATATGTGAAGTATTGTTAATAAATACAGCAATCAACCTGTAAACATTGATTAATAAAAATCTAATGCATTTTATTTTATCATAAAATGAATAATGGTAAATGCCACACCCGTTATGATATTTATACAAAAAATTAAATAAAAACGAATTTACAGACAAAATAAAAAATATTAAATTGAAATTAAAAATGTTAGTAGATTTTATTATTAGACTGTGTTATGTCTCCAAGAAGGAAACAGAAATAGAGAGTGGGGCGTAAATATACAAAAAGAGGGCGACGCAGAAAGGGATTGGATGGTGCATTTTAGATAAAGACAGGGTTTGTAGTGAAGGGTTAAATCCTGTTTCGTGAACTAATGATTTGTTGAAGACAAATTCGACCCCGAACTGCAAGTGACCTTTTCATTTTTTGGATTTTAAATCTCATCTTCATGAATACCACCTTGGTGGATTGATTTACAATGAAATTTTTATTGCAAACAGAGCACCACTTTTAAAGCATATAAATGTAGTCTGAACTGATAATTTGTCTTTTCACATTTTTGTGTTCAATAAGGCTATTACGATTACAAGGAAATGGAAAGTCAGCAACAAATAAACCAAGGAAGAGCAGCTACGTGGGAACGACTGAGACGATGTGAGCGTTTGCTGGCAGAAGTGCGACAAGCAACTCACATTTCTCTAATGCGCACATAACATTCATATTGCAAAGGACCCGTGCCTCAATTGAGAAGACAAGTAATTCTGCATCTGGGGAGAATTATATAATTTATATTTCTATTCGATTCCATTTTAAGGAAAATGCTTTCAGATTAATAAAGTGATGTGTTGAAAAGAGCAGTGCAAAATTAAAAGAATTAATAAAAAATAAATGCGTGTAATTTACAGAGATACTGCTAGTTTTTGTTATTATTTCATTATTTATTTGTGTACTTGCATGTTTATAGCAGATGACTGGTAAACACTACCAGACATAAGCTGTAAACATGCAATCAAAATGCTGACGACTTAGGAACCTCAGATCTCTTTAAATTTTCAGTTATAGCCCGTCAATTCACAACTCTTTTCCGGATTTCCAACGTTGATTTCAGCGTTCTTTGGTGCAGTCCCCAATGTACCAATGATTATTCGATTCTACCCAGCATATTTCATGTCTTTCTCAGTTTCGGGAAAGTTTTTGGCATTTCTCTAATGTCTCACTCGACTTCACATTCGTAATATGAACCACAATACAACTTCTAGACATTCAATGACTTTGACAAATTTCTGGACTGAGATAAAAATGAATAAAATGAATGCACAATGAATAAAAAGGTTTTTGAATAATCATACTTTATGTTTCTGTAGGTTTTTCTTTATTTATTTACTTTATATCTTCTTGTATTTAGGCTATACATATTAAATCATGAAGTATTGTTTTCTTGTGGATGCAAATATAAAATGCATTGTGCAAACCTTTGGATATTAAAATTAGTGATGCAGGGGTCCGAGCAAATTCGTTTGTTGAGAATGATTTTCTTTTGGGGAATGTTTCACTGAAAATAGTCCTGTTGTTTGCTAGATATTTCTTCATGCTCGCCGAAAGAAAATGAAATATAATACAGAAAAATATTTTATTTAAAAAAAAGATGTTGATTAAGAAAACCAGCAAAGGTTCAGAGAGAAAAACAATTATTCACTTTGCGTGAGAGACATATTTTATTCTCGGCTAAAAAAAAAATGTCTGATCTGCGTACGCAAAGATTTAAAAAAACAACGTATATGACTATGGTTTGATGCATTGTTAATTCCTATTTCGGCTCTCGTACCTTTTTCATTTGTTCTTCAGTTATGTATATTGATGACAAACTACTCCTATCTTATTAATTTCTTTTCTGCTAATTATTGGATGTTTAATTTCGTAAAGTGGCTTCTGTATTGTCATCGTTCCTTGCATATACAAAAGTACACGCAATGAAAACGGTGGCCATTTTCTAGTTTCAACCTTTTCCTCATTTTTATAAAATTATAAATTTATATATTTATTCCTTTATTATTCAGATTACACATATTTTGGTGCAAGGATGGTTTTGTGATGTCAACGATCAATCGTTGCCACTTTTGTAATGTCAACGGATACTCGTTGTCATTTTCGTAATGCTCGTTGTAGTAGAGACTTTATAATTGCAGATGCAACTATAGTAACGCCGTTGAACAATACTGGTGTCAGACGCCTTCGAATAACACTCGCACTAATAATACTCGCTCGAAAAGTAACCATCGAATAGTGATCCGTATAGTGAATCAATTAGACGCCATGCTAATTCACATATATACATTTCCTTTACCATCACGTGATCTACTTATTCAAAATGGGATCGACTGTGTTTGCTCTCTGGTGGTCTGTGTTCAAACTCTAGTGTCGGCAGTGATATTTTATTCCTATGTAACAGATAGAAACACTCTTTCTTGACTAATTTGAAGGTGCCAAATCAAAAAATGTCGCCCATTTTTTTATATTTATCGTTTTCTCTTTACTAAAATGTCCTATTTTGCCAAAAACTCTCATTTTACTTCATTTTTATCGAGTGAATTCACGGTTTTCTGATGAGAAATTGAAAATCTAAAATTATAATATACTCAAACTGTAACAGGGCACTGACCCTGTTTTAATGTTTAATTACATGTATGTTAACGAATAGCACAGTGCGAATATTTATCGTCACACTCCCCGCTGATCATATGATCACACAGGTGTCGTTTCAACCTAGTACTCTTTCGCGGTGAGACGAACTTCTTCCTCTCTGGTCAAATCATCACACGTGATGGGCTCTGAATCAGAATCCCCAGAATGGATAAAGGTCGCTTCCACTTCTTCCTCGCTCTTAGGTGGGGAGCCACTGCTGCCTGCACTGGAGCCTGGTTCTCGCCATTCATTACTCCCTGTCGATGCGTCACCGCCTTCGTACGCTGGCGCCCCAAACTGGGTCGTAAACGCAAGTGCCGACGTGTGCCGTCGACGACCACTGACTGTGGACTGCTTATACCGGTAACACGACCGGTTTCAGATTTCGACGTGCACTGTCCCTGTGGATTTTTCACCCAGACTACGCCCCCTTCTCTGTACCGGGCCAACGTCCCTTGGGTGTGAGGACACAACGTCAATTCCTTTCAATCGAATCTGGTACGAATGCGGGCGAGGCGGACACGTAGTCCTTGTGTGTGACGTTGTTCCAATATACGGCCTTCATGAAAGGGCAGTTATTCCCCGCAGCAATCAGTTTTAATGTCCGATGACACTTCTGTATGATACAATTTCCAGGCGTTTGTATGCACAACGCGGTCTGAATCTGACGTCTCATTCATCCACGAGCCGTCTGATTGCTGACTATCGGTCAGGAGCTCGGCTGGGGGTGGGAGCACATTCGAAAGACACCGACTCCAACTGCCGGACAACGTGTGCAGTGTCTTGTCGAACCAACTACCTCCAGATCGAAAGCCGCGTTTGTCCGCATTCGATCAGTGTCAAAAAGTGGCAATTGCACTCACCGACTGTATAGGTTCAATCTACTTCTGTACATCGTTGAGCCACCTCTGTGAAACCCTAGTCAGTAAGTCCGCCCCGTTTTGGTCGGATCTTACGTGCGCCGAAAGGTTGTACTCCTTCACAAGTGAGGTCAGCGTGTCCAGTCGCTGCCTTATAAACATCTCGCTCGCAGCTTTGGTATTCAGCCAAGACTTGCCTGTAAGAGTATTGGTCAACCTGTGGTACAAGCAGAGGGTGTCTGTTTTCACGTGTTACACCGTAGTCTGTCACTTGAGCGCGAGTATGACTACTCTTAACACGGCATCCAGTTGATATGTTTGGTGTTCTTTATCGGCCACAACCAACGTGTCTTCAATGATGGCATCATCGGACTCCCACGGCCAGTGAACTCGCGTCCAGCTCTCTCGAGCCCACGTACCACTCTCCCTGGGCAAGATCTAGTTGCTGTGACGGCAGTGGCTCGAGGTTTGATGAAGCCTGTCGCTACTCGCAGCCATCTACGCACGGCAAAGTGTCCTACCAGTTTACCACACATGGAAAAGATGCCCTCTGCATCATGGTCATAGGACCGTTCACCACACTACTTCCTCGAAGCCATCACAGTTGACCGTCCTGCAACTTCTCCGGGTCCTTGCTAGTCAGTCCTTACAGTTCGAGATGCTTCCTCACGGATTCCGCCGACGCCACATGCTCATTTATATATATATATATATATATATATATCATCAATATATGCCAACGTCGCTCGCTTTATCATCTCGTCCTGCGCTAACACAGCCTCGAAGATAGACTGCATTATCAAGGTCTCCGCATTCAGGCCGAACCCAAACCTGGTTAGACAATATCTCTTTCCTTTGAATATAACTGTCTGGTACGGCCAAAGAGAAATCTCAACGTGAACCTGCAGGTACGCTTTACTGAGGTCCAGAATAGATACGTTCGCGCTCTGCTGTCGCCATTCTCGTAATTTCTCCCCGCAGACGTCCGCATCATCCGTGAATGTTTCAATATAGGTGTATAGTCAATTACAGGACGCACCTTATGTTTGTTGGTTTGTAGTTAGGCCATCAGCGGTATCAGTCCCTTGGGCGGGCCAAACTCCTCATCAATATACGGCAGCAACCAACCGTTGTCCATCCAGGTCTGCAACTCACTCTCGTACTGCTCTCTCAGCTCACTAGACACCGGATATTCAGAGATCCTGTTCCCAAGTTTCTGTAGTGCACGACCCGCTGACCACTTCCAGGCTGCGACGCACATTCCCTGCCGTCCTTCGAATTTCGCACAGACGAGCCACGTTTCTTCAAACTTGCTTCCATCCTGCGTGATGCGAACTCCGCCGATCGCTTTAATGGCATCGATGCCAAGCAATAGATCGAAATCCAGAGGCTTCCCTCGCATAACCAGTACATCGATCGTTGTGCGAATCCTAATAATGCCGCTTCCGTTAATGTGGTTACCTGCTTCGACAAAGATCAACATAGCTTTGCGCTCTGAATGCAACGTGAGCAACTACAGTCAATGAGATCAGAGCATGGTGCGTCATCAGTGATGATAGGTAGCGCCGAGTTCACCTGTTGCCTGGGGAATAGACTGGCACCGTCGTTTCCGGACAATTTCTGACCAGGTGACCGGTCTTGTTGCATCGATAGCAACGCACGCGTGTGGTCTGCCCTCTCCGCTTGCAGTCCCTCCTGAATTGATTGTGAACTTTGCACTTATACTATGTAACCGGTGGGCTCACGCCCGGGGACGGTTGAGCAATCCGAACAGGTTGCGCCGCAGCAATGACTGGTTCCTCCACTGCAGATTCGTCTTTCATAAACGCCCGATCTCAGACCAACAGCTCCTCGAGATATATCATCCACACTGGTGGAAGACCGTAGGTGCCTCTTCACGGAGCCAGGAAGCCCCCGCAAGAACATGCATGCCATTGCACGATCTGGGATTCCCCCGAAAAGGGCCGACAAGTTCCGCAAATACGCCAAATACACATCTACAGTCTCACTCGAACGCAACACACATGCCTTCTCGTACGTTGGGTATCTATCAGCGACAAAAGCAGTGATTAGTGCTTTCATAATTCAGGCCATGTCCGATTTCTTATCCTTGGTCAGTTTCTGTTAAACAGCGAATGCTCTCCCAGTTAGGCGAAAAAGGATGACACGATCAAGTCGCTTCACTCCAGATAGATCACTCACCAATTCTATCTTCTCAATCCAGTCAATCACAGCTCCAGTCCCGTCAAATTCGGGAATAATTTTCAGGTCGAACCGAGCGTCCATCTCTGCTGAAATAACTTGTTAACGAATAGAAACAGTCTTTGTAAAATAAAAAACAAAATCTCAACTGCCACGTCTGCTCATCGCTTCCACTTTCAATTTTCTCTCTCCCGCTCACTGACGTTGTATACTGCCTTTTTAAAGTGGATGGTCGTCCTCGTTTGCAAATGACACACGTTCATAAAAGCACAACGTCACGCTTGCATCTTGGACCTCTCGTGAACTGAACCGTTTATTTCGCTCACTCAACTAACGCCTTTATTCTCATTACAAGGCATTTCATTCAATATTTCTCAAAGTAAAATGTGACAGAGAGAGTCTGGGAAATACACACATAGCGAAATTAAATCAGAGCATTTTGTTTACTGATGGGGAAATCTGATCTAGGGCATTGAATCTGGGTCATCAGGAGACAATGGTAATGGTCGAAATAATTTTTATCGATTAAAAATTGAAATAGAGCTGAGTAAGCTAGAAGGAACTTTGGAATTCACATGATTTTGGTTGAAGCAGCCAGAACCCCGTGATTATCGCGTGCAAAGTAATAGGGCCGAGGGTCAGTTATAACCAGCCGGGTTTATATATATAAACGCGTAGTTATGCTGAAAAAGGCAGACTGGAGAAAATTATTGAAGAGAGAAGAGAGAATTGGCCCGGACGGGCGCTGAGAGGAGGAACGCCACTATAACTTTAAGCCCCGCACATAAATCTTTATCCCTCCATCGCAAGAGTCATATATCGTTCTAAGGCGACTTAACAACTAGATAATCACATACTCTCTCTCTCTCTCTTTCTCTCTCTCTCTCTCTCTCTCTCTCTCTCTCTCTCTCTCTCTCTCAAATCCAGGATATGAGTTTTTTTACTTTTCTTTTCTGTAACCCGTTTCTCTTCTCTACTATTCTTTTCTGCTATATAAAAGACATTAACAATTCAACCACTGAATCGATGTTTGTCCGGCTTTCTGCAGATATAAATTTTTTTTTTTTTTTCTGCATTCTAAATTTCTTAGCCCAGACTCCCCAGCCGTGTCTACATCTTCAGTCGACCGTGAATGGACGGACATCACTTCTGCTTTCTGGATCAAACAAATCACAACGTGGGCAGGAAGCAGGATTAAACCAGTAGACCGGTTGAATAATCTACGGATGCTCAGGTGACCTATGGCCTCTCCCTTAAATTCGGTTAGGACCGAGTAGACACCTCAATCCCGAGAGTAAAACGCCGGAGGTTGAGGGGCCAGGGCAAAAGTGTTAGAAAAAGCATTATTCAAAAAGAAGTGAAAGAGGATTTTCACGTTTTCTTAACATCTTTATTTCGTAGTCTATTGTTTTAAGGAAAAAAAATCGAGTTAAAAATTCTCACCTCTATCTACAAAGGAGTCGCACCATTTAGAACAATATTAAAGTGTCAAATATGAAGTAAGAAGAAAATCTGTTGTAAAAGGAAAATTGTACACGATTATGTTTTATGTCACGGCTTTCAAGAAATGCTAGTTTGTCATATAAATTACATTACCAAACAAGCGAAAAGAAAAGCATTTATTTAAAAATGTTTTAATTAGCTCTTCACCAATTAAAAAATAAGATGTGTACCAACAGTATTGAGGCCACATACACCGTATATCCTCTTTGGGCGTTAACAGAGGCCTATATTCTCATATGCATGCGATCGTACAGATGATGAATACCTGCGATACATTATTACTCACCTGTTGCATTCGTTGATATCAAACTGCAATAATTGTAGGTGGGATCAATTGATCGAAACAAGCATTATTCCACTATGTGTCTCATACGTGTTCACTAAGGAAGAGAACTGATGAATTTTGTCCATGAGGTGAGTTGTCAAGTAGCACAGTCATTATCCTGGAGGAACAGTGCATCGCCTTCTTATTGCGGTGGGGTATGACACGTTGAACAAAATATTGTGCACGATGCGCATCGCTTAGTTCAACGTTATCTCTAGAAAAAAAAACAAAACCCAGTTACTTATGGCCCCATTCAGCATGATTCCAGTTGATATGCTTGTGTGTGGTGAGCGAATACGTACTGTAAGCTGCTTCATCTTTTGTGCACGTTACACACACATACACAGAGTCATGAAGACAGATCACTCAAGAGTGCCATTCGATCGCCACCAGTGGATATGATGTGCATGATGGTATTGTGGCGTAATGGAAATCGAGTTACAGATACGTGAGCCTATAGTCCTGCTGAAAGTCAAACATTCACAATGGTCCGTGTTCACACACCTAGGGTCATATTTGCTCTGATCTGGGCTGTTTTGTCTATTACTGCTGCCCTTAAAATGCGTCAATGTTTGCCATTGTCTATACATGTGGTTACCTATAATCTGGTCTGCAAATGTAGCAATGTTCAAGTTAGCCACTCTTATCAGGATCGAGGCAACACTGATGCGCCGAGTACAAGCATGCGTAGAAGCTCTTCGAAATGACTATAAATTATCCTAATGCAACAAAAGGGGCACATGTGCATCATTGTGGCATAACCATCTGCTTGTACTGAACTTTTTCACAACCTTAAAATTTATCGCAGCATATGTTACCATTATGTAAAGCTCAGACACAGACGACACACTGATATTTACTACGACACAAAATGGCTGAAGACTGAAAAATTTATCGGGATACACTAAAATCGATATCGTCCTTCGGAATGTTGCAATTTTATTTTTCTTCAGTCTGGCTAATACTCATAAGTTTTTAAAATCTGTAATTATAAAAAAAAAAAGACAAACGAAAGTAGCAGAGATAAAACTACTGGATATTTTTTATGAAGACCTAATGAAAATCTCATAATGAACCCGTACCTACAAACGTATTGCGGGGTTCGCCCCTTGTACACAAGATGGACTCGTCCAAAATATACTTATACTACGAAGAGATGGCGCGACAAAAGGGGTCGACACAGTGTGTTCACTCAGAGTTACGAGAGTCCGGAAACAGATAATTACGGCTTCACTTACAGAGACTTGTACATATACTTTTCTACTAACCCGCATTGCTGGACTACTAATCTTCATTTCAACTTTGTATTCTTACGTTCAATACACATATTTTTCTATTTCAATTACTGGCGTGTTTATTTATTTGTGCCGGATTCCATCCCCGGAATCCACAACAAAACGGAAATATTTTTAAATATACTGACCCTTCTTTTGCACAATACAACGAATGAACTAATATAGAACTGATCTGGGTCGTGAATCAAATTAGCTAGGTATAAGATAGTTAGTGAAGACCAGCCTTTTACCCCCTCCCCCTTTTCGGCCTTGTGCCACAATTTTGTATTTTTACAAAATAAATCCCGGCTTTGTGAGCTTCCGAGTCGGCGTTTGTCGAACTCTCTGCATTAGCAGAGAGGAACCCGGACGAAGCTTTGCCGAAGGGCAAGGTTTCGTTCGGGGAGGTAGACAGGGCGTGAATCCGTCTAGGCGGGTTCAAAAAGGCTATAGGCTGTGAGTGTATGCATATATATCTATAAATAGAAGTAACTCACTTAGTAGGTTTCTTTTTGGGGAGTGTAAAACTTTTATCTCGCTTATGTTGCTCGGATGAGAGAGGCTTTCTTCGTTGTGATATCAGGAGTGTGTCGCATGTGTTCTTGTGCGTGCCTGTTGTGGGTACTTTTGCGTGTGCTCCTGTGAGTGGTTTCGGTGAGTGCTTCTGTATATGCTCACTGTGAGTCCCCGAGTGACTTTGCGTTAGTTTTTATCTAGGCCGGTGATAGGCTCTAATGAAAGTTAAAATTTATTTTTTATCGTGTTCCAGTGATTGAGAACGGTCACGTGGTGTGTTTAATGCTACGTCTGCATGAGGTGCCACTAAGTCTGCTTTTCTGTTTTTATTTTTAGACTTGATGAAATTGGGAATATGGAAATGTATATTTATTTATTTACTTTTGTATATTTTCGAATTCTCCACAATGTGAAATGTTCATTAATCACAAACGAAAAGTAATCGATGATTTTTCCGCATTATTACCAATGATAGAAAAGGAACTTTGTAGTGAAAAATTCATGAGAATCATGATTTTAAAATCATTACGTTTTTTGTAGACAAAAATTGTTTGTCGACGTCCACTGATGCTAATAACAATTACACTTCCTTACGCACAAATGTACACTTAACAAATACGTCCATACTGGAGATCCCATAATTCCCATATTCAATAATAATAATGTCTTAATTAAAAAAATATATTCGCCGTTCCTCAATCTTAACTCAACCGAGTTTAATCGATAAGAATCGATATAAAAGCATTAACCTAAAAAAATAAATTACCGCGTAGTTAATGTTTTCTTCTCTTTTACAAGAAAGCCTTTTCAAATACTACTTGAAATTATAAATCGTCTTCGAATTCGACTAATATTTTACGTGTGTGTGTGTGATTCCAAATGTATGTATAACAAGAAGAGTTGTTATTGGCAGATATTGTAGCTTTTACATTTCAATGCAACTATTTGGAATGGATTGGTGTGTATTAATCTAGTCCTTCTTATCCTTTTGTGTTAATAGATACCAAATATATCCAATTGTAAAGTATTTTATTCACCTTCATTAAATCGTCTATAACCAAAAGCGGCAATATTATTTCTTCGGTGAACGCTTGACAGTCGTCAGCACAGTCGTCAACAAGAAGTTTACCGCGGCTTATTGACTAAAAGAAGAAAGGCAACTCACTTCGCCAGTAAGAATCACAACACTTGAAGAACCAAGACTGAGCGATCGATGACTTATACTGGCACCAATCCTTAAACCAATTTGGAAGCTGTATAACTCTCCTTATCCAATCGCCGTGCGAAGATTGAGGTATCGGAACAAGCGGGGTTCGAACTGAGCGGCTGAACGTCAGCAGAAAACAAGACTAGAGCAACGGGGCCTGGGAGACGTGTACGGGAAGAGAGGTGGTTATACTTGCACTCACACATTCTCCTCTGTGTTACTGAAATTCAAATAAAGATCCTCATTGATTAGATTCTATCAAATCCACTTTTAACGTGTTAAATAATTAAATAATATATAATATAGAAACGTATTTTAAAAATTAAGTAATTATCTTCTGATTTTGTCTTTGTTTTTATACGAAAAAATGAAAAGAATTGCGTATTGAAAATATTCAGTGTTAAATATTTTCCTAATTCCTTGTTCGCCATTAAATGACAAGAACTGTCACTAAAATTTCTTTAAATATAGATTTTCAGCGAAATTTACTTTCAACATTTTCGAGTAAAAACGAATGTATTTCATTCCAGTGTCACGATATGAAAATTTTAATTCATTTCTTCGATAAACACGGTGACAAGGTGAAAAGAAAATGAAATGTATACAAGAAACTAACTTACAAGATACAAGATAAAACTTCAGCTCACAACTTCTTGGATAAATATCGTGTGAATTTCTGAAATGAGGAATAACTCATTATTTACATGCGGACTTTTGCCCTTATCTTTGTTGCTGTTATCACAATATTTATGTTGTTATACCCTCCAGCTTTAATTAGGTGCATGTCGATTGGGGTAACCGACAGGGAATTTCGAAATGAACCCTTTATCTAATCTACGGGATTTTTCTTTTTTGTTACAGCTGTTGCTCTTGAAAATTTTCTGTCATTTGTCTTTCTTTATTAACGGCTCCCACATCGTATTTATTTCTATGCTAGGCCTACTAAGGTAGGGTTCCTCCTCATAGCATAACATACACATTGATTCTTTTAAACGTCTATCCAACATTCTTCCTCGTCTAGTATTTTCACTTTATTCCACATGAGCTGAAGACTACCCGTTCCTTCCATGCATGATCAGCCACGCCTGATTTCATATCAACCCTTATTA